AAGTCTAATTCGGGTTGGGTTGGGTCAACCCGAATTTTTAAAGGGCTAACCCGAGACCCGACCCAACCCGGTCGGGTTGGGAATTTTCCAACCCAACCCAAACCGAGGTTTAATTGAACCCAACCCAACCCTGGTTGGGTCGGGTTTGTCGGATTGTCGGATTTTTTGAACACCCCTAAATGGTGGATTGTCAAGAGGTTTACCCACGAACTGAGATTTCATAAAGTCAATTTAAATTAGACTTCAGTTATTAAAAATTTGAAATATATATATTTTTAATATTCCCTAACCCCTTCTTTTTTTTTTGGTATTTTGGTGGGACGTGTATTTTATACCTACTATGTGAAAGGTCGATTTTTATATTATTTAACTTCTAAATAAAATAGTTTCCGACTTAAAAGTAAATAAAAGATTTAAAAGAAAATCATTTTTATTTTTTGCATTTAAAAAAAATGAATAAGATTTTTTTTTGAATAAATTTGATTTTAAATAGGAGATTCTTTTTTAAAACGAATTTCAAATGCCTCAAATAAAAAAATTTTTGTTGTTGTTTTTTTAAAAAATAAATTTTGAAGATAAATTTTTTTAGTTTAAGAAGACACTTAGTTCATATGTTAAGGTAGGACGTAGTGGCAAAAGTTTTGGATATTGACATTCATATTACAAGTTCAAGCTTTCATGTAATACTCAAGGCTCAAGTTCGAGTCCTTGTGTTCTCATGCTTGTCGGTTCATATGATGACGTTTGCGACACTGATTACCATCTTTTCAGAGTATTTGGCTCTCTATGTTATGCACCTTGCCTTCACATAGAACCAAATTTACACCTAGGGCTCGTCCTTTAGTCTTTCTTGGTTGCCCACAAGAAATGAAGGGTTACAAATTATATGATATCCAACAACGAGTGTTCTTTATATCAAGGGATGTTGTGTTTAATGAAGGGGTGTTTCCTTTTTTAGGTGATTCATCCATTACTACAGAGCCTGATACCTGTCCACAGCTTGTTTTGCCACAAGTTGCTGATTTTCAGTTTGATTTGCTTCCGCCAGTTTTTCCAACTATACCTACTGCATCACCAGTCATTGATCCTATTAATGAGCATTCTAATTTTGCTTCAGCTGCCTCTTCTATTGCTCATGCTTCTAGTAGTTCTTCTACACCAGTTAAGCTTGGTAATTCTTCTCTTAATTCAAATGACTTGGCTAATATTCGGCATGATCACAGTCCTCTTCCTACAAATACCAATCCTGATTCTATACAGGATGACAATGGTGATCATGTTTCTGCTCCAACTATTCTTCTTCTATCTAGAAGTACCCGGGCTCTTTCATATCTTCAAGATTACCATTGTGCCTTATTAAACCAGTCTATGCCTGCACGTAGTTTCACTAAACATCATTTCCAGCAGTAGGTTAATTATTCTAGGCTATCACCTTCTCATTCTCGATTGGTTTTGAATGTATCGGCCACCTATGAACCTCAATATTATCCTCAATCAGTGGCATATCAACACTGGAAGGATGTTATATATGGCTGCTGAACTACATGCTATGGAAGTTAATAATACTTGGACGGTCCTCTACCTCCCAACCATCGTATTGTTGGTTGTCGATGGATCTACAAGGTCAAATTTAAGTTGGACGGCACCGTTGAGCGTTTATAAGGCCCATTTAGTTGTGAAAGGATATACACAACAAAAAGGGTTTGGATTACATTGAGACATTCTCTCCCATTGCTAAAAGGTCACTATCAAGGTGTTACTTTCTTTGGCTGCTTCGAAGTCATGGCCTTTAGTTCAACTTGACGTTAATAATGCATTTTTGCATGGTGAGCTTTTTGAATAAGTATATATGGATCTTCATCTTGGAT